ATATGCTCTTGTTTTCTTTCATGCTTAGCTATGCATATGAAAGAATATTCGTAGTATTTTAATCAGCATTTCTAGACATTATACAATAGGTTTTTTATATTGTTGGAAATCTGCTTTCTTATTCAGTCATACCACTTAGCACATGTCAATTCTTAATGATTATTCACTGAAAGGATAATAAATTAATGCATAAACAGAAGGACAAGTGTGCTTATTTATATTTTTGAGACACAATCTCATTGTGTAGCCCAGGCTACACTTGTGATCCTCTTTTCTGTGCTTTCTAGGACACAGCTCTGACCAAATGGGTCCCACTTTGTCAGCCATGTCCAATCATGGCATCTGGATCACAGGTTGCCTTCTTACCCCCAAGGTTCTTTGTTTGGTTGGTTGTTTTCGGTTTTTTATTGTTGGGTTTTTTTTTTTTTTTTTTGCGGGGAGGGAGTTGTTTGGTTTTGAGACAGGGTCTCACTATGTAGTTTGGGCTAGCCACAAACTCACAAGTCTCCTGCCCCTACCTGCCAAGTGCTGTGAGAGTCCAGGCATGTGCTACCTACCACTCCTGGCCAAAGAAAGTTTGTTTCTTTTCTTTTCAGTGCTAAGGATTGAACTCAGAGCTCCCCACATGCTGCCTTAAGCACTCTACCACCGTGCTACATTCTCAGCCCCTTTTCAAACAGTATTTTGTTAAATTGCCAGGCCTGGCCTTGAACTTGTGATCCTCCTGCCTTAGTCCCCCAAGTAGCTGGGGGTAAAGGCCTGAACACCATGCTCATCCATCTGTTTCCCAAGTGATCCCTCTTATCCTGGCTTCTCAGTGCCTCCATGCCTTACCATTGTAAAAAACAAGGGTTCTGGTATACATTACAGACCCACATGTGACTAGTTTGAACAGCAAAGGATGCACACACAATATGAGTACCTACCGACTTACTGGAAGAACTGAAGATGAGTGTGCACTTTGACCTTCTAGAAATACATTCTTCCCAAAACAACACCTAAAACTGGCTGCCTGGGGAGTTACTCTGTGTCAAAGTCAGAAAACAGAAGAATCAGAAAGCAGATCTGCAGATGGAGCATAACACTTGACCAAGGACTAGCTATCCCAGCCTTCTGCATCTAGGCAGGAGTTCATTGGGGTAGGGGTGATATACCCTGTTTCTAAAACAGCCCCCCTTTGGATGTAAAGGTCTTGGCAAAAAAAGAAAAAAAATAATAAAACAGCTCCCCAGAAATGTGCTGCTCATTCCTACATATTCCCTCTTCATCTTTCTACTGGCCAGCTATGGAGCTCTAAGAAGCCATTAAATCTTCATGTTAAAATGGCAATGGTCTCTTTAGCCTAGGTTTTTAAATAACTATATAAAGTGGCGGGAACTCCCCACCCCACTCACACACCCATCCCTACCCATGTGCAAACTGGATTTGTTAAGCCACTTAGATTTGGGAATTTTATCCATCAAAGTAGCTGGTGTTTCTGCAGCTGGTACAGGAGGGGAGTTCCAGAGATCTCTGTTGACTTCTCCCACATCCTAAACCCTTGCCTGAGTCAGCAGACACTATGCCAGCAGCTTGAAATTATCTATTCAAACAATATGCTAAAGAACCAGAAAGCTAACCCAGGAGCCACATGCCCACTGTGTTCACTGGGAGAGGGATTGTGCGGCGGGGCCATCCTAGGGTCTGGCAGGTGGCAACAGTTCGGTATCAGTGCCCCACCACCACTGAGCCTGAGGTGGCCCCTCCCCAGGTAACAGGATCCTGGCAAAGGCCACGTGTTCCCTCAGGAGAGGCTGAAAGAAGAGTTGGTGTGGCCCTGGATGTTTCCTCTAGGTCTGTCCTTCAGTAGAAGTCTCCGGATCTGAGGATGAATGACTCACATCCAGGAATTGCAAGAACTTCAATTCCCCCGTGCTGTGACCAAGTCCAGGACATGTTTCTGAGGCTCGGGGGTTTTCCACCACTCCCACCCACCCCTTTGCTGCCCTCTGCTTTGTCCTACAGCATGAGCATATGGCCAGTAAATCAGAGCTCTCTGAGGCCACACTGCTCTACTGCCCATTGCAGTGGCCTCATTACTGGCTGCTCATGTGGCCTCTGGTCCCAGACTCTTTTTTACCCTGCTTCCTGGTGGCATGGCCCCTTTATCCCTGGCCCCCCACTTCCCCAGGTTCTGTTGCATGGTATTGCTGCCCTCTGCTTCCAGAGTATATCCCTGTAGGTAGTGGTGAGGGGATCTTCTGGCCCTATCTTGAATAGCTATGTGACAGCAGAGCAGATGAAACACAATATCCTCTTGTTTCATCAGGCTTTGGATGCTTTTTCTCCATTAACCAAAGTATTTCTAATATTTCATCTTTGTTCCCATGAGCTTTATAAACCCGCTTTAATTACCACAGCACAAACAGCCTCTTTCCAGGTATTCCACTTGCCCTCCAGCCCAAAACCTGTGGATCAATCTACCCGATTTAGGAACATCTTACTAAATCCAGTGACCATTCATCAGGACTTTGCTAAGGAAGATTTTTCTTTGCTAAGAAAAATTAGTGCAATTCTTTTGGTGAACAAGATGTCTCTTCCCAGACTTATTTTAAATTGCCCTTGTCCTATCTTGGAAGACTGGACTGTGACATAGACATGGGTTCAGCTTATAGCCACTGCATTCCTCAGGCCCTTGAGCCTGTCCAGTGGTAGCTGACTCTCAGCTCACTTTAGCCAGACCTACACTGGGCTCTATTCTAGGGGTTCCTGGCTGCTGTGGATGCCAAATCTAATGTCTGTTGCCCACAGCAACTTTGGGGCCTGGGTTTGCTTCAGGTGGTCCTCCTCCTCAGCTGTCTAGCACTAAAAGCACTAGAAAGGAACCTGATTGGTGAACACCTGATAAACTATGAGCATTTTCTGTAATTTTGTGAATGGTATGACTTAGTCTTGTCACCTGCCCAGATCATTGTAATTTACAGGTAAAATGATCTCTAACCAGAGGTTATTTCTGTTTCTGGTCTGACAGCAATTTTTTGTTTTTAAACTGGAGAGTGAACCCAGGGCCTTTGCATTGAGCTACATCCCCAGTTCTTTACTGTGTAGCTTGAAATAGGGTCTTGCTAAAATGCTAAACTGATCAAACTGGCCTCAAATTTGGAAGCCTGCTTCAGCCTCCCACAGTACTAGGATTATAGGTGTGTACTTGGACCTGACAGGTGTGTTCCTGGATCCTTCCCTGAGTAAATCTTTGAAAGGATCTCTCACAAACTTTCCTTTTGAGTTGTAACAAAACTTGACCTCTGCAAAACAGGTGCTTTCAGTGGCTCCACAGTCTAATCATCTCTCCACCTTGTCAGCATGGGATAATCCTCACCACACCTCAGCCTTCAGTTTTCAGAATAAATGCTCCCTCCTTTAGGAGAACAGCCCTGTTGGCCCTGCCCAGCACCACCCATCACAGCACCTACACATTGACGACAATGTTGTGGAGCAGGCCCAGGAAAGTGGGAGGAAGTCATCTGGCTCCAGGCAGCTGCTGCAGAATTCCTTCACCAAGGCAAATGTTCCCAGTGATGCAGCTCAACCGCTTCAACCTCCCCATGCAGAAGCCTTTCCTATCCCTTGTCCAAGGTGCAGAAAGAAGAGACCTGGCGCTCATTGCAAAGCCCCTCTTCCTACTGTGGGCGTTTGTCCCAAATTAGCATCCTTCAGGAATCCAAAGCCACTTCCTGAACCCCAGCGGGCTGCCTCCGTTTGGGGCTCTGTCGATGCAGAAAAAGAACTCACATCTCCAGAATAAAGCACAGCCTGCAGAGTTTGGCTTTGAACACACCTAGCTAGCAGCACAGGCACACTCAGCTCCCTTCTCCCGCCCAGGACTGAGGTCAGGGATGGGCCGAGGTTACCATCACATTAGCACACACCTGAGCTGCCTCCAGAACTTGGGTTAAGTGCCACCATTTGCACAACTTCACAAACCAGGGCTCTCCCAAGAATAATAGGCAGGTACTGGGGTTCCCAATTTGCAGTTGAAAAAGAAAATGCTTTTCGTTGATTCCTTTTAAACTCCAATTCACAGCGCCGACCAGCTGTGAGAGCTCCAATTACAGGTTCAAAGATTTTGGGACCATAGAGCTCTGGGACCTGGTTCGATAGAAGAACCAGCAGGACCCAACGCCTACACAGGCCCAGGAACACTGGAACGTGACAGCAAGAGGACTGCAGCCTGGTGACTGGCCCTACACCCTTAGAGCAGGAGGTCACCAACAGCCTCGGTATAGCGTTTTTCCCATTCCCTCCCGAGCATCCCTGATCTTCAAACTTTCTCCCCCACCGCTACCAGACTCGAACCTTTCACGTTTCATCTGGAACATGCTGGCTCTTCAGCCAGACACGGCCTCAGTAAGAATTGAGTACTAGTCCCTATCCCGGTCCCAACGCCGTCCCAGGGACCTGTCCACCTTCCCCAGCACGAGAGTTGACTAGAGAAAAATCCTCCTCTCGCGGGTACTCGGATCTCGCTCATTGAGGTCCAGAGGAGATGCCTGGAGGACGGCCACCCTAGGGTGACGTGTCCTGGGGGAGCTACCCAAGGCAGGAGCACTTTGCTATCTCGTGTTTCACAAAAAGCACCTGCAGCTGGAGACCCCATGGCTCTCCCCTCCTTTTACTCGCTCTCGGGACACTGTAACACTCTCAGCACCCAGGCCTCTTCAAGGCCCCAGAGCCCAAACTGCCCCTCTCGCGGGAAGGTCGAGCCCAAGGGGACCCTACACGCCCCCTGGGCAAGGAACACGAACTGCGGCGTGCACTGCCACCGACAGGCGACTTTCGCCCGCGTTGCAGCTGTGGTGAAGGTATCCGAAGTCCGCCAGAGCAGGAAAAGACGCAGAGCTGACGTAATAGTCCATCCCGCCTTGCCGCGCCCCGATTCGCTCACAGCGACGGGCCCCGCCTCCACGTTCGCCCGCCAGGCTCCGCCCTCCCGCAGACCCCGCCCCCTCCCCGCCCCGCCCCCCAGCCGGTCTCGAGCAGCTGAGCGTTTGCGGCGGTGTACTTACCGCCTGACCGAACCGGAAGGGCCTGTGGGCCACCGCTGCCTACGTCCGCGCCTGCCCTCGTCGCCTCAGACCGCCCTAGTTCCGCTGCGCCCGAGCCCACGGGTCAGTGTCTTGTGACTGCCCAGACCCCGAGAGTGAACCACACACCAGGGCGACTGCGGCCAGATCCCCGCGCGGGAACCTTCAGGGTCCTGGTCCTTTTAGGTGTCTGACACAGCGGGCCTCGGTGCTTGCAGGCTCGTTGTGGCGCTTCGAGAAGCAGCCGTCGGACTCAGAGGAGTGCTGGGGCCCAGGGGTCTCGGGAAGGGAGGGCCAGGGTCCGAGGTCTCCGGAGTGGGGAGGGGAGGGGATAGGTTCTCAGGGGAGGGAAGGATCAGGGTCAGAGATTTAGGCTCTGGGTCTCTGAAGAAGGGAGAGCCTGACGGAGCCAGTTTATCTTCCTCCCTAAGGTTCTCTGGAAGCAGGCCTGTCTGTTCTGTTCCATGGAGGCACTCTGGGCCCTCTGTCTAGCCTGGGCTGCAGGCCTGGCCACTACCAGCCCACCGAACATTGTGCTGATCTTTGCTGATGACCTGGGCTATGGGGACCTGGGTTCCTATGGGCACCCCAGTTCTACCACCCCCAACCTGGACCAGCTGGCTGCAGGGGGCCTGCGGTTCACAGACTTCTATGTGCCTGTGTCTCTTTGCACGCCCTCCCGGTAAGAGGGGAACCCTCACTCACATCCTCAACCCTGCCTATCCACTTCCTCTCACTCAGGACTGTAGTGTGGGAGAAGGGCGCTACCTCTTTGGGGAAGTCCCTGATTCTCCTTCCCCTTTCTCCTTTTCCATGCTCATTTTCTTTGGATTCATAACCTGACTTGTCCCTACAGGGCTGCCCTCCTGACTGGCCGGCTTCCTGTGCGGATGGGCATGTACCCTGGAGTTCTGGGACCCAAATCTAAGGGAGGGCTGCCCCTGGAGGAGGTGACCCTGGCTGAGGTCCTAGCTTCCCATGGATACCTTACAGGGATGGCTGGCAAGTGGCATCTTGGGGTGGGGCCAGGGGGGGCCTTTTTGCCCCCCCACCATGGCTTCCATCGATTCCTGGGTATCCCGTATTCCCACGACCAGGTATGAGCCAAAAGTGCCATCAGTCCCCCACAGACCACCCCACAGCCCAAACCCCTCACTAAAGGTGTTCCTCCAGGGCCCCTGCCAGAACCTGACATGCTTCCCACCAGCCACCTCCTGTGATGGCACCTGTGACCAGGATGAGGTTCCCATCCCATTGTTGGCCAATCTAACCATAGAGGCCCAGCCTCCCTGGCTGCCTGGACTAGAGGCTCGATATGTGGCTTTTGCCCGAGACCTCATGACTGATGCCCAGCGCCAGGGTCGTCCATTCTTCCTGTACTATGCCTCCCACGTGAGTAGCCACAGTTCTGCCCTCCCCACTGGCCCCCTCCTACTTCCCTGTGACTGCTCCCCAAGGCTGACTCCTGTTTTTGCCTCCAGCACACCCACTACCCTCAGTTCAGTGGGCAGAGCTTCGTGGGGCGCTCCGGCCGAGGGCCATTTGGGGACTCCCTGATGGAGCTGGATGCAGCCGTGGGGGCCTTGATGCTTGCCCTGAGGGACCTGGGGCTGCTTAGAGACACACTGGTCATCTTCACTTCTGATAACGGGTATGCTAACCAGGCAGGGTACACTCATTGCCTAGACAGAGGCTAGCTCCCTCATGGTGCGGAATGAAGGAGTCTGCGGAGATTCTGTCCCTAAGTAATCTCTAGATCTCGGGGCCACAAGTGCACAGAAGGGGTGGTCTTGGTAAGCCAAAGGGAACAGGCATGCACTGGCCATTTCAGGGCAAGTAACTCAGATGTATATAGCTTTGATTCACCAAAAGGGAATCGAGGGCCCTGGGCTTTGTTGCTGATGACTTTCTTGTATGTCCCAGACCCGAGACTATGCGTATGTCCCGTGGCGGCAACTCTGGCCTCCTGAGATGTGGGAAAGGGACGACCTTTGAGGGTGGTGTCCGAGAACCTGCTGTGGCCTTCTGGCCAGGCCACATCACTCCAGGTCAGTCTCAAGAACTCCTGGCTCTGCCTCTTCAACTTCGCTGGCAAAGCGGTGTAACAAACAGTCCTTTGGCCCCAGGTGTAACTCATGAGCTGGCTAGCTCCCTGGACCTGCTTCCCACTCTGGCAGCCCTGAGCGGGGCCTCCTTGCCCAATGTCACCTTGGATGGTATGGACATCAGTTCTGTGCTGATGTCCTCAGGCAAGGTAGGGCTAGTGACTCCTCAGTCCAAATTGTCCTTCTGGGGTGAAGGCGGCAGTGCCTGAGGTGTCTGTGTCTCACATCTCCTTTGATGAATGACATTCAGGGTGTGCCTGGGTGGGCCAAAGAAAGTACAGCCAAGGCCCTTCCCATCCCATGACCCTGATTCTGCCCTTAGAGCCCTCGAGAGTCTCTCTTCTTCTACCCGGCCTTCCCAGATGAGATCCATGGGGTCTTTGCTGTGCGGAGTGGGAAGTATAAGGCTCACTTCTTCACCCAGGGTAATTTCCTCTTCCTGGCTGCCCCACCCTAGCCCCGCTGACCCTCAGTAGCTCCCAGACCCTATCCTCAGCTCTTGCCTTGTGCACACACCTGACCCCTCCCCAGGCTCTACGCTCAGTGATACCACCCCAGACCCTGCCTGCCATGCTGCCAACCCTCTGACTGCTCATGATCCCCCACTGCTCTATGACCTATCTGAGGACCCTGGTGAGAACTACAACCTTCTGGAGAGAGAGGCTGAGGTCACCCCAGAGGCTCTAAGAGCAATGAAGCACCTTCAGCTACTAAAGGTCCAGTTTGATGCAGCCATGACCTTCGGCCCCAGCCAAATGGCCCTGGGTGATGACCCTGGCCTGCAAATCTGCTGTAAGCCCAGCTGTACCCCTTACCCAGCCTGCTGCCACTGCCCAGATGCTCTTGTCTGAATGCCACATCCAGGGGGGATTTTCCAAGGCCCCGGCCCTGGGCAGATCAAGGTTGGGCACTGTGAAGGGTGGGGTACAGATGTATAGAGATAGTTTGTACTGATACTGTAATTACACCAGTTGAGACTTGTAAAGGTGTGGTAATTCATGTAGTCCTTGCTGTGTGTTTGAGGTCAGTGCTGCACCTCTGTGTTACAAGTGAAGAAAACAAGGCACTGGGGGAGTTCAGGGACTTGTCAGAGGCCATTCAGCCAGGAGGAAGTTTGAGTCCAGGGGTCCTGCCTCCTGGCTGCCCCAAACTGATGATCCATGTCAGTTCGTGCACGTTTGCCTGAAGTCTGGAAAGATCCACACAGGATCAGTAAGTGCAGGAGCAAGGGGAAGGAAAGCATAGTGACCAGAGGCCAATGAAGATGCTGAGCTCCTGGGAAGGTTGTCTTGGAAGAAGCATTCCCTGAGGCACAGGAACTGGCCTTACCAGTAGCCTGTCTGGATCAGGTAATGAGCCACCCATTTCAGGGGGTGGGAAGGAGGGAAAGGGGGTCCCTGCTGTCTCCTAAGCGAATTAGCAAGCCTGAATCAGGTCCTTGAGGCCCCTTTCCCTCTCAAGCTCTACATTTTGTCTATGCACACACATCCTGTCTGCTGGTTTTACCTTTGATCTAGGACTAGCCATTTTCTGCCCAGCAGACAAAATGATGCCTTATGGACATCTGGTTAGGGTCTGTCATGATCAGACTAAAACCCAAACTCTCTTTAGTGCCCTGCCCTACTCTCAGAGCCTCATGGCACCTCATTTCCCTTCAGTTTTGGCAGACTGACTGACCCCCCTCAATGTTCTGCCTCCATCATTGGCTTCCTCTGCAGAGAAGGTTCTTCTGACCACCTGCCTGTGATTGCACAGCTTAACATGCAGGTGTCAGTACATGACCAGATGGCATGTCACACACCTGGTGACCCTCAGCACTGGCCATTTGGGTGCAGTGTCATCTGGCTGTGCTGATAACGTCCACATGGTGAACTCTCCATTGTCTTCCTTACTAATGGATCCTTACATTTTTCAATGGTGGGTAGAGGTACTTTACCTCCAACATACAGCTTGTCCCTGATTCAGGAGGGAAGTGACCAGACTAAGCCAGTCACAACCCCATGTTTGGTCCTGGTAGTGAAAGGGTTGGGGCTTTCCTCCCTATGAAAGCCTGGCTATGGCCAAGTCACTGGCCCTGGATGGACATTGTACAGCTGCTAATCCAGGATCTCTAGCTGCCTGCTGCAGAACACCAAGTGTGATGAAGTAAATCCTGCCTGTCTGAGCCACTGGGTGGTGTCCTTTGCTTGCTGCTAAAAGTAGCCTTGCTAGAATGAGACTTGAATAGGGTATGTGGTGGGTGCATGATGTGTGTAACTGTAAGACATACACTGAGTCACTACTCCTCTGAGCACTGTGGTGACCACACTCCCAAGTCCTGCTGCATCTTGATGGCCCTACCAGCCAGCAATGCTGGCCCAGAGAGGACCCACATGCCTTGGTGAATTCTTCTGTTTCTGATTAGCACAGAGAGGAACTGAAGCAAATGCATGATCCAGGTATCACATCAAGACTAAATCCTCCAGCAAAACTATGAATATGATTACTCAGTCAAAATCTGCAGGGCCCTGCTCCAGCCTCCTTCACTGGTTGGTGTGACTGCAGTGCTGATCGCTACTCATTCATCATCCATGCAGTACTAGGGCAAAGTGGCATTTGAGGAGGCCCCTTCCCTTCCACAGTGTTTCCAGTCCAGCAGAAGAGGTCAGATGATGTACATAGGAGTCCAGTGCCACAGAAGTCACTACTATTGTAGGGAGGGACACCCAGATATCTATATTACAGGTGGTGACATGGGGCACACATCAGAGTAAAATGATCAAGCTTCATACTTAGGGATTGCATACTTGCATATTGATGATGTGTATTTTACTCGTCAATAAAAATTTGGTAAGTTTCAAAGAAGAGTGTGCCTGGTTATATGAAGGGGGCAGGTAGGCAACTGACCCAGGCAGGTTAGTTTGACAGGGTGCTCAAACCCACTTTTGCCACCCAAGGTTGCAGAAAGAGGTGAATCCTCCCAGCCTCCTGTTCCTTTTTCAGTTTTGCTTTGAGTTATTTACATGCAAAAATGTGTGTTTCTCATCATTACAGCTGTTTTAACCCAAAGCACTCTCATAGTAGATAGACGACTGATAGGTAGAAGATATTGATAGATACAGATAGATGTGATGTACTTGGATATATACATGCATGCACACACACACGCACACACGCACACTCATAGACCTTATTATTGTGGCCCCAAATGCTGTCCACAACTGCACTCTCCTTTTCTTCTCTGCTGTTGATTTAGGAAACAAAAACGGACTGAGGATATAGCTCAGTAGCACAGTACCTATCTGGCAAGCATAAGGTCCTGAGTTTGATTCTGGGTTCCAAAAACACAAACTCCATATGAGCATCAGTAACTCATTGACCAATTGTCATTTTCATTTCCTCAAGAGACTTCTGGAGGGGCACTTGGAATAGACAGAGTGACAATGTCATGTCCTGTGTGAAAGGAAGGGGAGGCCCTCTGGGACCTAGGTGACTGGCAGAGCAGGGTCAGCACCTGCCCAGGGTCTCTCACCCTTTCCTTGGCTCCCCCTTCCACTTGCATCCATCCCCTAAGTGACCAGAAAAGAGAGCAAAGGAGTATTTCATGGAATGTATAGTGTTGACATTTACCTCCTCTTGGTTTTTTATCGCAGTCTAGGGATTTGAACCCAGGGCCTTCCCACTGAGTTAAATCCCCAGGCTTTAAAATAAATACATAAATAAGCATGAAGACAGTCTCACTAAGTTGCTAAATTGCCCATACTTTGGGGTAAACAAGCAGCAGTGACTCCCAGCTACTCCAAACATGCACAAATGAAAACAGAAGGAAAAGCAAAGTCATCGTGCTGTCATCAGCTCAACAGTCAGTCGGCTTTGGGGGCTGGCCTGTGTTTTTGTTTTTTTTTAAGTTTCTTTGTAGTACTGGGGGGGGGGGTTGGACCCAGGGCCTTCACACTGAGTTACATCTCCAGCTTTGTTTTTTGTTTTTTTGAGACAAGGTCTCAGTAAGTCAATATGTTGCTCATCCTGAGCTCTGACTTGTGATCTTCCTGCCTCAGCCTCCCAGAGTGCTGGGTTGATAGGCATGCCTCACTGTACCTTTAAGTCTGCATTGTTTCATTTTCGTTTCTGTAAAGCTCTTTATGTGGGAGGGCATTTCTGCTTACCCTATTAGGAATCATCAGGCTCAGATAGGCTGACTTTGGAGTCGCAGGAACCAGGAAGGGTGGCCTACCCAGGGCTGAATGCTGAGTTTCACACCAATTCTGTAAGATGGAACTCAGCTTCTGGAAGAAGCTCTGTGTTTCATGCTGATTCCCCCACCCCCACTTTTTTTTTTAACACAGGTCAGAACAGAACAATTTAAGAACATAGTGTTTCACCACAAGATAACCCGACATAACAGTAGCTACCATAGTGTCTTTTTCCTTGAAATATTTGAGTATAACTTTGTATATTATAGCATCAAACACAACATGACAGTGTAAAACCATTCAAGAGAATGAAAGTATTACAGAAACTAACATAAAATGAACAATAGTTTCTATATTATCTCCTTGTCTATAAAAAATTTTGTTGGGGCTGGGGATTTAGCTCAGCGGCATAAGCACCTGCCTTGCAAGCAGGTGGTTGTGAGTTTGATCCCCAGTACTGAAAAAAAGGGAAAAAATGTAAAAAAAATTTTTTTGTTTATACTATCACATATAATAAAATCCAATAAGATACAACATGATAAACCAATGGAGACAAGAACAAAAGCTTCATGGGACTTCAAAACAAGATGATATTATATCAGCACTAGCTATTGTCTTGTTTTCTTCAAAATAACTGTTCATACCATCACAGACAATAAAATCAACCCAGAATAAACCATACCAATTAATGAATGAGAACATTATAAGGCTTCAAAGCAATATAATGGGGAATCATATTTACCACATACTTTTATGTATTCTTACCATTTCTTACACTAGGGAAACTATTCGGTATTTATACTTGTGAGTTGGATTTATTTCACTTATGAGTATGGTCTCAAGCTGCACCCATTTATTTATAAATATCTCAATGTGATCCTTCTTTATAGCTGAGTAGCACTGCATTGTACTGATTCCCTTTCCACATACACCTCCCCTGCACATGTGCTTATCGTACCTATGAGGAGGAGACTTAGGGCATGACAAAGCTGCTGGGGAGGTGGGCATGCCCCATTATTACAAAATCCCAGGACACATTCGTAGAACAGTTCCCAAAGCTCTGTAGAAGAACCTCTCATAAGAACTAGAGCAGGTTTTCCACAGGATGGCCAACACCTGATGTCAGCCTGAGGCAGGGGTGACACGAAAAGGACAGTCAATCTGGAGTTCTTTGCTACTGTGTTTTTTCACAGTAGTCATTCTTATGCTGTAGAGTGCATCTTTTCCCCTACTTTTCCTTAACTTAAGCTCACTCTACAGAGCCTTTTTCTTTTCCTATCTTTAAAAAAAATGTAAACCTTTGCTACCTTTTGTGCTTGTCTTGACCAAAACCCAATAAACCTGTGTCCACACCTCCTCCTCAGGTGTACTTTGCTCAGCACTAAGGCAACATTCCCCAACATCTTGTCCTCTCTTCAGGGGATGCCATTTACTTCTGAATCAACCTCACCCTTGCGTGGAGGACTTTTGACTCCCTGCTTGTTGTGCAGAGGATCTTCTCCCAAGTTTTGTGGTTAAGGAATTTTCCTCTCTGTGCCTCCCTTCTCCTGGCTTTTTTCTCCTTCTCTCCCTTCCTTTTTGCCTTCTTCTCCTGTTTGTGTCTAGATGTCTCCTCAAAACCTCATGCAGTCATAGTGGGGCTTGTTCAGACGTGGCTGGATCTAGTGTGTGACACTGGAATTGATTCAAGGGCACTAGGATAGGGTGTGAATGCTACCCACCCTGGTAACCTGGATAAAATATAAAATAGAAGGGACAGAAAGAACTGTAGTCGTCCCTGGCCTGCTTGCTTGCTTGGCTACCTTTGCTCCTCCTCCAGGAACTGTTCTCTACCATACCACTCTTTCTTGCAGCCAGCTGATTATAGACTGAAACCTCTACAAACTGTGAAACAAATTTTTCTCCCTTTAACTTTGGGTGTTGGGTATTTTGTCATAGCAATGAGAAAGCAACTAACATATTTCCCTTCTTCTCTCTGTTTCTCTCTCCTTCTTCTTCTCCCCAGCCCTCTTCTCCTCCTCCTTTGTGCAGTCCTGGAGACTAAACCCAGCACCATTCTACTGCTTAGCTACATCTCCAGCCTTTTCAGGACAGGCTTTGTTAAGCTACCCATGCTGGCATTGTAGGGTACACCAATGCAGGACATAAGCAAATTTATTAGGCAGTTAGAAAGCAAGAGAAAATGGGACAGAACCACAGTTTGAGGAGCTAAATGGGGCACAAATCTGAAGAGATTACATTGGTCCATGAACAAAGGTGAGGTTGTTTGTTTCTTTGAGACAGGGTCTTGCTATTGGAGTTTATGCTGATCTCAAATTCATAGCAGTTCTCATGCCTCAGGCTCCTGGTGCTGGGATTACAGGCATGAAAAACGACCCAGTTTGGTGAGCTTTAATGGTCCATCTCAGTTCTGATTTTGCAAAATGACTGTAGAGAAGTCATTATCACTCAAGGAGGTGCTCAGTCTTCATGAGATGATTGTATCTGCTTGGGGAAGTTTTGGGTTTTAAGAGGATCTGCTGAAATTCAAGGTGAGCATAGGTTTAGGGCAATGACCTTAGACTTCAGGATGCCCACTGATGTCCTCAGTCTTAAAGGGGATGAAATCATATACAGTTAGGGCTACTCAACCTTGTACTGGCAGCTTTTAAACAGACAGTCCCTAAATGATTAATGTGCCTGTGTGCAGAGCTGAGGAAAGATCCGACCCTAAGTCTTAAGGTAATAAAGGAGACAGAAATGAAAGTCAAGTTTTGTTCTGCTTTCAGTGACCCATGGGGCACTTAAGATCCATGTTAACAATCTCTGCTCTTTAGCAAAACCATCTGTTATGTCCCTGAACCTCAAAACAAGACACACATCTTGCTGAGTGTGGTGGCGCACTCTTGTAATCCTAGCATTCAGAAGGCTGAGGCAGGAGGATTGTTGTGAATTCGAGACCAGCCTGGGCTACAAAGTGAGCTCAAGGCCAGTCTCAGCTGCATAGTGAGACCCTTCTCAAAAAGACAAAAAAAAAAAAAATACAAATCTTGCATTTAATGAGTATTGTTAAAGACCAGGGTATTTTTTTGTTGTTGTTGTTGTTATCTTTATGGTAGTCTCAGATGGTTTCAAAAGGCCTGTCTGTACTGCTTTCATAACCTGCAGGTGAAGCATTTGGAGGGCTCCCCGCCTTGAGGAGGGTACCTGCCTGCCTTCCCACCTTCCCTTGCTCTGGCCCACTGCTCGCTCCGTGTCTGGTGAGGCTTCTGGAAAGGCAGAAGCTGCCTCTCTGCGCTTGGTCCAAAGTGTGAGAAAGTGAAGGAGCTGTGAAAAGGTGAAGGAGCTGGTATCTAAGTCATCACACATTCGGGGCACTTTGCAGGGCGCATGTTCAGAACATCCACCATGATCTGAGGGTTTCCTGCTCTTTGACAGCAAAAACTAGTGAGCACCCATCAGACATTTTCACAGGCCAAGTGAAGGGCCAGTGGTTTCAGCTCTTAATGTTTTTCATGTTTCAATAATTTTCAATACTAACACTAGCATATTATAATTCTGCATATTATATTTTCTTGTGTGTTGTACTGAGGATCACATACTAGACAATTGCTCTACCCCTATGCTACATCCCGAACCCTTTGTATTTTATTTATTTTTTTTTTTACTCTTCTTTTTTTTTTTGTCTTTTTCCTTTTTATTGGTACCGAGGATTGAACTCACGACTGCCTGCTTGCAAGGCAGGCGCTTATGCCGCTGAGCTAAATCCTCAGCCCCTGTATTTTATTTTGAGATAACGTCTCACCAAGTTGTCCAGGCTGGCCTTTAATTTGCATTCCTTCTGCCTCAGCCTTCCACAATGCTAGGATAATAGGCCTGTGCCACAAACCTGATATTTCAAATAGGTGAACATATTTAATTTATTGAACTCTATCAGTCAACATTTAAATACTTAAAATACATAAAAGCTTTCATTATTTTTACTGATTTTTGTGGCGCTGCAGAGTAAATCTACTAGGCACATACTCTACCACTGAGCTCCAACTCCAGCCCACTTTCATTATTTTAAACAGGAATACAATGAACACTTTTATACAGAAAGTTTTGTGCAGTGCACCATTGCAGCTCTCAAAGTTCCTGGGTGGAAGGATGACCAGAGGATGGGGAAATAAAAGAGATCAGCCAGGGATTTAACTCATCGGCATAAGTGCCTGACTGGCAAGCACAAAGTCATGAGTTCAATCCCTGGTACCAAAATAAATAAGTTAATTAATTAATAAAAGAGATGAAAGCTGAGGTCAGATGGAGCCCTCTCTCCTTATGGGAAAAAAGGAACTGCTCAACCACCTGAGCTCATTTATACACTCATGAGAACGATGTCAATTTCAGCCCCACTGCCTAGCAACTTATTTACCTGGCTGGCCTGGTCTTTTCAGAGTTGGAATAGCTTGTTTATGTGGCATGTGCTCGATCTCCAACTTCAGCTTCTCTTTACAGCTTTGTATTTAGAATGCTGTCTTTCAGTTAGATTTCCATAAGCCAGAGTAGTGTAGTTAGAAGCATCACATAGAACTGTGAAACCTAAGATGACAATATGTAATCTATTAACTAATGATTTCCTACTGTTTATTTTTTCTGAAATTCTGTATAACTTGTACCCTTTTCTGTTTTTTTTTTTTTTCCTTTTTTCTCCTTAAATAAAATTTAAAGAAAAAAAAGAACTGTGAAACCTGCCTGGGCCAGGATCACAACACAGGCGAGGAGACAGCTCTGATAGCTCTGGACCTCCAGCACCCAGCAGGATGTTACCAAGCAACACTCAGGGAAGGGTGGCAAGAGAAACTCAGGCAGAAGCGGACAGAGGTGTGGGGCTGGGGTGGGCCAGGCTGACAGGGAGCAGCTGCAAAGTGTGAAAGACGGGCACAGTTGCAGGAGTGTTTGCAAGTGCTGGTTAAGGCAGGGAGCCTCAAGAAGGCTGTTTGTGGCACAAAGATCCAGGAGGAAACTCAAGGTGGTTTGATCCAGAAAGGGATAGGGAATGGAGTGAGTTACAGACTTTAGGATGACAGTGTGCAGGGAGGAGGATGAGGTAGCCCCAGGCCTGAAGGTTAGGTGACTGGGAAAAAACAAACACAGACAGGGAGAATAGAGTAGGTAGAGAAAAAGTTAAGTCACCTTACAGGTGAGCACCAGCCCCTTGCCTGCATAGCCTCAGCAGTTGGCTGCTAGAAGTTAATACATAGCATGGGCACTGCACACCTGATCAGGCCCACAGGATCGATGCAGGACACAGCCTGAGAACATGCAAGGAGCTAAGCTCCAGGAGATTCAAAAGCTGCCGGGGGACCATGGTGGTATGGACAGAAGGGAAGGGCCTAAGCATGTCTAACAATGCCCCAAGGGCAGCCAGGAAAGGTTGCCCACATGAACATGCTGGAAGAACAGGTTGGGCCCCAGGGAGGACACAGGGCAGCCAGGCACAGAGAAGTGCTGCCTGACCAGGGTAGAAGAGCAGAGGTGATAGTGTCCACTTGCAGCTAACCCAGCCTGAGGTTTGGTACTAGGCCTCATTCCAAGCACAACCCAAGGGCCATCCAGTTCTGTACATCACCTGAGCAGCAGAAGCGTTCACAGAAATGTGTCCTCCCTTGTCTTCTTGCATACATAGGATGCTTCAACATGGAGAATAAGAAGCTGTGAATCCACTATGCACAGCACTCCTGCTCTGTCCTCCAACATTGGTGCATTCATTCAGATCAACCTGGGCTGTCATATCCTAAAGTCTGCTTGTTGGTTCAATGAGACATTTGAATAGAGATGTATGATTTTAGATACTTTTTAAATATTTTGGTATAGAAAACTGTTGGCATTTCCATCTTGATTACTCTTTTGTTCCCGACCTTCCTCTGTTGTCTTGCTAACCCTGGTCAGACAAAGGACACAGGCCCACGGGGCACCTCGGCCGTACAGACCCCTCTGCAGAAGTGGGGATCAATGGTGCTCCAGGAGAGTCAGGGCAGGGCACCTATAATCATCTATAGGCACAATAAAAAAGTCACTTATTGATTTCTATCTTTTTTGGGCAGAACTTTATAAATAACAGTTTTAAGACCTAAATACTGTATGTTGTTTTTCAACCCAACCATCACACGTGAAGGACTTGGTGCTGTGGCCCCTGCCTTCTCTCTGGCCTCAGCGTTCTCACAGGAATCAAGTACAAGTGGGGAGCTCTGTGGAACCTCTAGACCTAAGGGGCATCACTTAGTCTCCTCTGAAACATGACTTCCAGAGATTCTGTGTGTTGTTTGTTTGTTTGGTACCAGGAATTGAATTCAGGACCTTGATTCTGAAGGGTTGTCTCCATTCCCACTGCCTCTCCCGTCATAGGTGGCACCCCACAGAAACAGCCAAGCTCACACCAAGCAGAGTTTATTGAGGCCACACGAAGGGCCCATGTACACAGCGTGCCCACATGGGCAGATTTTCCTGTACTGCGGGGGTGTTAGCGGCAAAGCAGATGATGCTGGGTGGCACCCAGTGGGACTCCTTCCTCCTAGAAGCATGGGGGTTTTGATGGACATCAAGAACCACTCCTAATCACCCCAAGGCTCTCAGGAATTGCTCCCTGTTTCCCCCAGCTCCCTGTAGGGTTGGTTCCTCTCTATTCCTGTGGTCAAGGATGGGATGATCCCTTGAGATTCACTATAAAAATTAAAATTCCTTTATAAATTACAGGGAAAGGATACAGGGGGGGTTACTGGGGAGCTTGCATAATGGGTCACCTCGAGCCTCACCTTCCTCCACACCCCCCCAAGTTCTGACCCCAAGATAGAGAGCAAAGGGTGAGGTCTGCAGGCACAGAAAAGGGCAAAGACAGAGGAAGGAAAGGGAAAGTTGAAGGTCAGGATAGAGGACACAGAAAGGATGCACTGAGGAGAAGTGGGAGGCACCAGGGGCTCCACCCTCTGTGGCCCCCACAGCCATGCTCTGGGGATTGAAGATGAGATTTCTCAGCTTGGAGACGCCCACAGATGTGGGGCCCCACATGTCCCCAGTCCAGTCCTTGCCAAGCCATGGTGGCCTCAAGACACCGCAGCTGCAGCTGCCCTGGAGCAGTGAGGGGGGAGCTGAGGATGCAGGTGGCTACTCCAGGTAGATGTCCTCTGTGGGGCAAGCGTATGCCAGGTGCTCCTGGTAGTACTCCAGGAAGGCACGGCTGCAAGAGAGGTGCTGGCCTCAGTCCCCAATCCACAGCCCTGCCCACTAGCCCAGCAATCTTGTGCACACCACTGTGCCCTTTGAGACCCCACATCCTCCCCCAGTCCCCCCCCCATCTCCACAGACATCACTCACCCCACGCTCTGCGCCACCGGCCTCATGGACTCCTGAGACACGAAGACATGGCAGGCGAAGCGGCTCAGCAGAGGATGTTTGGTAATGAAGCCGAAGTAGCTGTGGGGAAGGCAGGTTGAGGGGCATCAGAGCACTGACCCCCTAAAAGATCTGAAGACAACAGGCAGGGACAAGGGGCTTGGGAGGGGAACGGAGTTCATGATCTGAAAGTGCTTTCTTTGGGTCCCAGTTCAGGCACAGTGCCAGGCATCCAGGAGGAGCCAGTGCTCTAATTCCTGGGAGACCAGGACTGTCCTGTGATTAACAGCTGGCTCTGTCGGGCCCAAGGCCATCTCTGTGCCCAACCTCTCTCCTCCAAGCCTGCAAACATTTGCACCCTGTCTCTCCATTCCTCATTCACACCGCAGCAGCACCGGTCACCTTAGCTTTCTGAATCTGCTGATCCTCTTCTCCCAGACATTAATGTCTGTTGTGTCCAGCATAAGGGGCAGCCAGTTCTGCTGTGCAGGATGTCAGACCCCACCCAAAACTGTGGCTGATCTCAGCTACTTTTTCAGGGCTTTGTGCTTTTGTGGCCCCACCAGACATGAAGCACACAATAGTATCACCGCCAGGACACTGTGGTCTGCAACCCACAAATAAATCACAAGACCAGTCTCAAATAATAGTAACTGGTAACCCTGGATGTTGCTTACTATTATGAAGGCACAATCCCAAGTGCTTTCCAGTATCAGCTCACATAAGCTTCTGTGTCCTGACAGAGAGCTAAGCACAGGGAAGGTCAGTTTTTTAAGTCCACAGGACAGTCTGAGATCTTTACACCATATATCCCTGCTTCATCCAAACCCAGATGCCTAGCATATTCCTTATCTACCACTAACTTCACGAGGGAGCAAGTTAAACACTGTCCACATCCCTAGTGCTCCTTATGGAGGAGGGCTGAGCTGGCATCTGAAGCCACAGATATCAGGAAGGTCTTCAGGGGCTGCACTTAGCTTGCCCATCTGACCCCACATCTGACCACACAACCTTTGCATGGCCATGTTTTTCTCTCCTGGAATTACAGCCAGGCAGAGTTCAACCTGAAGATCTGAGCCTGGGGGTTCAGTTTCCTCTAAAGAGAAACAAGTAGCTCTTTTTCATCTCCTGGCAGTGGCTCCAGGGTGACCTGAGTTTGGTCTAAGCCTGGCACTCATGCCTCTGAGAAGCACTTGGACAACAGGTCCCAGCAACTATCTTCTTCCTCAGTAGAGAAGACCAAAGAGAGGTGGCCCACACCACCTCTCTTAACACAGAGAAGGCTGTGAGAGACCATCTTCCAGCCAGCAAACAGCCCTCTTCACAGACTCCAAGTGACCCCAACACTATCCTATCTGTTTCAATCCCAGCCTAGCAGCATCCTGTCTCCTGTTTCCCTGCTGAAGACTTGTCTCAAGCTCCTCCCTGCCCCATAAGCTTGTGCTTGATGCTGTTGATTCTATTTCCTCTCTCCTTTATCTAGAATACTGGGACCTCTTGAGTAGGAGTCTGTACCTCAGGAGGAAGCTGCATGCACACACAACTACACACACACACACACACTAACTGCTCCCTGCATCTCCTTCTGCATGGGTCACTGTCTACCCATTACACAGATGATTGGCACCCTCAATCCTGCTAGGCCAGCTCTGTAGCCACCTATCTCCTCATTTGTACCTGGTCAAGCCACACTATTCAACAGCCAGAGCCAGCTGGTCAGCCTTCCTGGGCCACCCTCCCACGAGGACCCTCTGTGGCTCCATCACCAATGGAATAAAGTATAAGCTCCCCACGTAGTCAAAAGGTCTCCGCAGACACGGGGTTGCTCTCTAGCACCCCTGTGGGAGCACAGGGCCTGGGGTTCTCACCAGAGCATCCCCACAGCCTAATCCAGCTGGCCCCAAACAGGATGATCTACTTTTCCACCCATCTCTGGCCCATCTTCTGAGCTCTACCTTCCCAAGTCCTAGGAGAACTCGCCTCCTTCTATCTAGATGTCCTCCAGATCATCCACTGATGCTGCCAGCACTTCCACATCTGTATACCTGTGCTTCTGTGTCCCCACCCTGTCTGATGCTGAAACTCTAAGTCCAAACAGGCGCCTGCATGGGGAGCTCTTAACATAGAGGGGACCCGGAGCACAGGAAGCCCTGAGGTTTGTGGGGACCTTGGGAAAGGATAGGCCCTTACCAGCTGTTGCGAGGGTGACAGCCACAGAAGGAAATGTTCTTCATCTGGAAGAAGTGGCTACAGCGCTGGAACTGGAACAGAGATAGGCAGAGACAACTAGGTTGGACAAAAGAGGCCACCCTGTGCCTTATCCCACATCTCAGCCTCCGTCAGGACTCCGCACCCCTACCTCAGGCCCTCCACTCAGACTCAGCTTGACACCTCGAAGAGAGATTTCAAGGTCACAGGAGGCAGGAGGGCGCAGGTGGACAGTCAGTTTCCGGGCAGTGGCAATCTGAGGAATAAGTTGGGGGAGAAAGAGGTTTTGGGGGTCTACAAGGGCTTCGACATCCCTTGGGGAGCTATGCCTTGTCTTTTCAGAGCCTAAAGACTTGGCATTGAACACTGTGAGACATGATGCTCAAAGACGAGAAGTGGCTTTGGCCACTGGGGCTTCACTCTACGCTAGCAGTCTGTCCCCTTCTGTTCCTCCACTAGGCTGTTCCTCTTACCTCAGGTGACAGGAACCTGCCCAGTCCCTGAACCTCCTCAATGCCTAGTCCCCATAAACTCCTGGGCTGGTCCAGCCTGTTTCCTGTTGGCCCCCAGTGTCAGCCCCAGGACTGGAAAAGGGGCAGGCATCACTAAGTATCTGCCATGTGAAGAGTGATTGAGCGAATGGCTCCCAGGAAGAGACCATGACAGTTGGTCTCAATTTCAGTAGGAGGAGGCTGAGGGGCAAGAGGGACTGTCAGAAAGACGAAGTCGCTACTAAACTGGCCCAGAGGATGGAGGAGACAGGGACAGTAGGTCTGTCTCAGGTCTGTCTGCTCAGGATTCTCATCAGGGCAGTGAGCTTACCCAAGCTGCCCTGTTCCCTGGGGGAAGCCAGGGGCTTTGGAAACACCCTTCAGCCTATGCCCACACCACCTCCACACTGACCTTCTGCATGGCTGCACACAAGATGCCATTGCCCTGGTGACAGGGTACTTCCACAGAGCCCAGGAACTGCACATCAAATCGTTCTACCCAGCAGGGGCTCCGCTTGCTCCCTGGGGGTCACACAGGCTCAGGTCAGGGAGGCATGCAGGAAGTATCTGGAGTGAAAAGCTGTCCTTTAGGGACGGGATCTCACCTAGCAGATCCTTGGCAGGGCCAGGCACTGCGTGGGCATAGAAGGCTGGGAACACACCACGCTCCCCAGTGCGCATGTTGAAGCCACGAAACCAGAAGTCATCCTCTTCAGCTTCCACCAGCACTGGATCATCCACATCTAGCTCTAGCTCATCTGGATGTCGAGGGATGAACCTGAGATTGGGCAAGAGTCATCAAGAGGCTGCGGCAGGCCTGTCTGGCAGTGTCATGCAATGTCTAGGGACAGACACTGGGATTACCAGGGCACAGGACAGCTGTACCTGAAGACTGCCCGGTGGGTCTGCTCTCTCTCCTCCCCATTGACCAGACAGGAAAAAAGACCAAAGGATTCTGTGCCTGAGGGTCAGAAATGAGAAGAGACAGGGGCTCAGCTGTGGGTGGAGAGGGCTGGACAGGGGAGGAAAGTACTTGAAGGCCTGGTCTGGGGCTGCAGCCAAGTTCTCTCCTCCCAAAAGCCATTGAGGGGTACAGTCCATGAGGGGCAGAAGCAGAGTAGATGGCCCCACTCTCTGCCCAAAGGAGGTTAAGGGAGGCCAAGCCCCACCTCCTGGACAGGGGGTGCTACCCAGCTCTGGCCATACCAGACTGTTGGTATGCTGTACACTTTGGAGGCCATGTGGGACCCAGGACCCTTTTTGTCCCCACCTCCCACTTACTGGAGGATCGGGAGGTGCTGTTGACAAACACATTGAGAAACTTCTTGGAGAAGGTGAGGTCAGGGCTGTCGGGAGATGCATCTGCTGGGCCCTGTTCACTGCCCAGCATTCCGACGCCACCTTCCTCCTCGCTGGCCTCCCCGCTGCTGTCCTCACTGTCCTCTCCCAGGCCGGCACACCGTCGCAGGCTCACCAGCTCCAGCTGTGTGTGCTCGTCCACCACCAGTGTATACTTGACTGCATCATACACCAAGGAAGCATCCAGGGGCACAGTGGAGCCCGGGCCCCGGCCCCCTGGGGGACCCACACTGTCCTCCACCTCATCCTCTTCCTCCTCATCCTCCTCCTCCGAGCAGGCAGCCGAGCAGGCACGGCCAGGGTGCGTGGGGCGGCCAGGGGCTGCCCACAGTGGCGTGATGGTGTCGCAGGTGGGGTTGCTAAGGAATAGGCATGGCCCAGGCTGTGCAGGCCCAGGCCGCGGGGTGGCGGGTGCAGGCGGTGGTGGCGCACACAACGTCTCCATGTCCACCAGCTCCACGCCAGGCCCTGTGGGTGCCTCAGGGTCCTGTGAGTGTGTGGCTGGTGGCGACTCCGGGTCTGGAGGCAGGCGTGGGGCCGGGGACAGGCACTGGCCGGGGCAGCGGATGGGCGAGGAGCCCTCGGAGATCATGCGGCTCACCAGGTTGCTGAGCAGCCAGGGTGAGTCAGCGTCCTCGCTGAGGTCGGGCTCAGACTCCGACCCGGACTCGTACTCACTGTTGGTATCATCGGGGCCCACAGGCAGGAAGGCTGGGCGGCGTGGGGGCTCAGGCTCAGGCTCAGGCTCAGGTTCAGAGGCAGGCGATGAGGCCTCCTCGATGGAGTTGGTGAGGTGCGAGGAGCGGCCGCTGCTGCTGCTGCCACCATCGCTACTCAGCTCCAGCTCAGTCTCCGAGATGGACGAGATCATGCGACCCAGGCGTGCGCCTGCGTCCTCTGAATCTGAGCCTGGAGATGACAGCTCCTGGCTGCTTCGCCTGCCACTGGGGCCTCCACTGGAGCGGCTCCTCAAGTCGGCCTCGATCCCGGGATCTGAGGTCGGGGAGGCCCCGCCGGGCACAGGTGCAGAGTTCCCCTCACAGTCACAACCCAGGGGCAGGGCCTGTGCCTCAGGGACTGCCTCTTCCACGGGCAGGAGGGGACCAGGGTGCTCTGTGGGGAGGGAAACAGTCACCTTGGGGCTGGATCGCCTTCTACCTGCCCTCCTGGTTTCCCCTTACCTCTGCGGGGCTCCAAGCCCGGTGAGCAAAGTGCAGTCTGGGGCCAGGAGGCTCCGGGTGCAGGGGCAAAGCCTCCATTGTTGTTCAGGGAGTCCTGGGGCAGGGAAGTAAACAGAAGCACTGAGGGCTCCAGGGTCCCTGCTCCCACGGAGTGCCAGGTCCTCCGTGCTGGACTTAGGCTCAGCTCTAACCTGTTGCCAATGAGGACCCACCTGGGTACCCAAAGTAGTCAGGTGGAGTGTGGTGGGTCGGTGCTTGTGGGGCTCCTCCAGGGAAGGAGAGGGAATAAGGGGCTCCCCTGCAAGTATCTCTGAATCAGGGCCTCCTCCCTCCTTGCCCTCCCCATCTCCCTCCTCTTCTTCCTCTTCCTCCTCGTCCTCTTCCTCGTCTTCCTCTTCGTCCTCCTCTTCTTCTTCATTGTCATCAATCATCTCAAACTCCTGGAAGTCATCTTGGAAGGAGCAGATGGGGTGCGGCTGCTCTGAGCGTCCCAAGGAAAGGCTGTCCTGCAGGAAGGAAGGAGATGGCAGGGCCGTGCCAGAGTGCAACCATGACCCAGGGTCTAAGGCGCAAGGAGGTGGAGAGCAGGAAGCAGACGTCATTCCCATCCATTCTGCCCTCCACAAACACCTTGATGTTTTTAAAAGTCTCCTCAACAGTTGGTATTACAGCTGTGTGCCTCCAGGATTTTAATATACAATTCACCATTGTTGTACTTGGTTCTTGGCTGTCTCCTTTACCAGTCTTCATTCTCCACCATTCCATGCTGTGCACTGATGCACTCACCCCTGGGAGCAGCATCCAGGGCTCAGTGGATGCTCAGTAAGGGATGGATAAATGCACATATGGAGAGACAGACTGACTCACTAACCTTGCACCAACCCTAGGGCCTTGGGCACAGTCAATCCATCTGCTGGCAATTCTATGCTCGCAACTCTATCTTCCTGGCTCAGCTGACCTCAGGGCATGGCTGACATTTCCTCCACGAAGTATCCCTGATTCCCCCAGTCTGGGTTCCCTTCCCCCTTGTCATACCTTGTGTGACAATAGGAATCTAGTCCATGACCGCTGGGCAGTCACTGTTACATGCCCCCTCCCTCCAGGCTCCCAAGCTCCCAGGGGAAGCTGTTCTGTTCCACTCCAAGCACCTGAATGCCCCAGCACTTGTCCAGGGAAGTTGTTCAAAATGATTGAAAACAAGTATGGAAAGACAGAAAGAGAAAAACCAGGGAGACAAGGGAGGAAAAAGTTCAGGGGCAGAGACTTGAGACAGACAGAGACTGCAGAAGTGGGGACAGGCCTGGAAGGCTCAGGGTTGAGATGGCAGCTGGAGGGACTAGATTTCTGTGGGAAGTGATTCAAGGAAAAGAGCACCAAACAAAGGCACCCTTCCCTCCACAGAGTAGGCTGAGGCTACTACTATGTGTGTCAGGTTGAGGATGGAGGCCTCGGAAGCCCCAGTGCAAAGAGGCCGATGGGCAATCAGAGGATTTCCAGTGCCACTTAGTGAGTTCAGACTCACCTTCAAAGCCCAAGGGAACACTAGGCAGAACCTAGAGATGCAGCCACCACCTCCTTCTGCCTGCATAAGGTTCTGTGCACCGAGCCATTTCCTTACCTTCTCACAGTGGTCCGAGTCATAGCTGAGGCCCAGGCCACAGTCATCAGTGATCTCAGACAAGTCTTCATCATCAAATTCTTCCAGGCTTATGTCCTGGGGAGGCCTGGAGAGACCAGGGTCAAAGAGCCACCAACCCTGTACTCCCTGCCTTAGGAGCTGGTTCTGGGGACTGCCTGGAGATTTCTAGATCTAGGCCTCAACTCCCCTATACTCCATCATCATTTCCACCCCAATTCGGCTTTCCAGTGGAGACCCTTCCCCATTCCCCATCAAGCCAGCCTAGAGGAGCTACCCCTCCCGGCTTCAGCCCTAGGCCCCTGTGGGTCCCAGTCTCAACCTCAGGGGAGCCAGCTGGAGCCAGCATCAGCAATGGGAGGGGGAGCTGAAGCTGCAGCAGTGTGTGTGTGTGTGTGTGTGTGTGTGTGTGTGTGTGTGTGTGGAGGGGCACCCTGCTCTTGCATGTGAACCCCTGTTCTGGCCTATATGGAGAGGTCCAACTCCTTCCGACCCCCATTCCCTACATCTCCGGGGTCTTTCAACTCCCTCCTTGCCTGGCCCTGATGGGCTGGGCCTGACCTCCACCAGGGAGAGAAGGCCCAGCAAGGCCAAAAGGACAGTCGGAGGTACAGCCGTGTGCCCAGCATCCTGCCAGCCAGCTGCCCCTTTGGAGGGTCAGTGCAGGGACCCACCCTGGACAGGTCAGCTGCCTGGGCTGGGTGCTGCTCCATTCCAGCGGGGAGGAGGGAGGGGGTGTCTCCAGATCTGGACGGCAGGGGCAAACCCAGGGGGGTGGCTGGGCGGCAGCACTCAGCGGCCTCCGGACTAGAGAATGGCCTGGGTCTGGGCCTGCAGAGGCGGCAGGGCGCGGCGGCCGGCCGGCCAGAGGACCCGGCCCCGGGCTCTGGGGCTGCAGAAGGCGAGGGGCCATGCGAGCGCCTACCTGCAGCCGGGCGGCGACAGCGAGTGGAAGGTGGAGAGAGAGAACATCTCGGCGCGATCCGCCATCTTCCCGGGAAAGGCTGGCGGCTGCGGGGGGAGGGGTGAGCCCGCGGCCCGCGCCGCCCCGCCCCCCGGACACGCCCTGCGACACGCGCCGTCCGCCCCGCGCGACTCACCTCGCCGCCCGCCCGCCGGGGCACCGCAGCGGGGGAGGGGGCGGAGCCTGCGCGGGCCGGGGGCGCGGGCGGTCCGGGGCGAGGGGCAGGCGAGCAGGGCAGACGGAGGGCGCGGGGAGTCGGGGTGGGGCCCGGGAAGGCCACGGGGGCCTGCGCACCTCGAGGAGGCGCGGCGCGGCTTGTGGGGGAGTCTGGCTGAGGGGGTGCGGGCCCAGGAGCCGCGAGACCGCCCGGGAAGCCGACCGGCAGGGCTGGGGTCTGCGGACCCCGGAAACAGGCGTCCAGTCGCGGTCTGGAGTAGCGGGAGCTGTCCGCCTTTCGGTGCTGATCGGGCCGAGCTGAGTGTTCCCTGTGCAGAGTTGGAGCTGTCCGCTCCCAGTGCTGATCGGGGCCGGTCGGGACTATCTGCTCAAGGGTGCTGATGGGGGCACGCTAGAGCCGTCCCCAATAGGCGTGCTGATCGTGCCAGCGAAGGCGCCTCCCTGAAACAGGCTGAACCCAACAGATGACAAGTGCTGAACAGGACATCTGTCCAAAGGGTGCTGATCGTGTCTTAGTTCAGCGTAGACCTGTTCGAGGCTAGAACTGAACTTCCAGTGCATGATACCATCTAGATTCTGGAAGATGGAAGTGCTGATAGACAACAGAAGAACTTGTAAAACTGAGGCTATGCTCATTCCATGGAAACAATTTTTCGAGACTATGTTACTGGCTCTGTTTAGGGTATGGACATGTTCTGGTCTGGTGAGGACCTCTGTGGGGAGAGTGATGGTTGATTGATGATCGGGACAAATGGGAGGGCAAGAACTGGGGAGGCTTTGGCTGAGTTTGAGCAACAAAAGTGTGATGAAAATTTCCCCCTTTCCCTAAAATGGAAATTGTATGCCCTGAAATGTGTCTAAATTTCTTATGGAAATGTATTTCGGAGGGAAGAATGAGGCACTTGCTGATGACTAGAAACCACAGGGCAGACGGAGCTCACGTAGTCAGAACACCGTCATTCTTGGGTGACAATCTTTCTAACTCAGAGAGGGCTATGGCTGGGATCCCATAGGCCTTGCCACCGTTTGTGCCCCAGTCATGGCTTATCTTTTATCTCAATTAAAGCATTTTTAAAGAATGGCACTGTTAGCTTGTGTCCTTCCATGATGAGGAGGAGCTGCTAGGGGCAGAGGTGCCTGCCGTCTTTTCTCTTTAAACCTCCAAAGTTCAAGGGCAGAGCCTGCATATGATATGGGCTCAGCAGATATGTGGGTAATTTAACAAATACGTGAATGGGAGGGCTTATGGGCTCCAGTGAGTCTGGAACATCAGATGTTTATCATCGTACTTTTTTTAATTTGAGGAACACCACAAATATTCTCTATGTTTGAGGCTCAAAGAGTCTGAAGATCTATTAACTACTCTCTGGTTTTCTCTATAAGATGCCTGAAATCTTCACAGAATATATAATGGGTTTGAATGCTAATTTCCCAGGTTTCCTTTTGATCCTGAGGCTCATTATCAGGCTGGTAACTTGTACCTAAATGATCCATCCAACACCCCTGGTCAGTCATACCTTAATTCCTGATTGGTGAATAACTGGTGACTCATTCAACTCTAATGACTTCTTCAAACAGAGCCCCCATCTAGAGCTGCATTGAGCTCAGAAGTCACCGTAGAGCATACCTCTCAAGTGCTCTGCAAACATTATCAGATGATCACCCCTTGACTTTAGCAGGAATAAAAACAGCATAAGATGAGGCCGTGGAAGGTCCCATCTTTCCCCAGAGCACAGATGGAGGATCACCAGCCTTGGGGTCTTAGAGACTATAGTACCAGTCTTTATTTTGCCACCAGATTTCTGACTATGAGCTAATTGTTTCATCCATCAGGACCTTCATCCCTCCATCAGCACAACAGTGATATTAGGGTACATGACCCTGAGATATGACACATATCCTAAGACAAACCCTAAGGAAGACAAATCCTAAGGAAAGCCCCAGGGCTAAGACCCAGGCACAGGACCTGGTCAATGTTCATACTTCTTCTGGGCCTCATCCTAAGCCCACTTTCTCCAAATCTCTCAAGATCACTCTATCTCAGGGATGTAGTAATGAGAAGTACTCTCTTTTCTGAGCGAATTTATGTTCCTTACATCCTGCACATTTTATTAAATCGAAAGTCACCTTGAGAGCACCTTGCACAGATAGCACCGGAACCTGAGATCCCTTCCAGAAGTTCTTTCCTCCCTTCATTTGTGGGCTACAGGCACTGCTAGTTTTCCTGCTTCCTGACTACCCACTGTCTGTCCTTCCAGACTCTTTCCTTTCCCTTAAGTGTGTGTGTGTGTGTGTGTGTGTGCATGCACACACACATGTATGTGTATTTTTCTAGGGAATTTTGGAGGCAGTACTGGACATTGAAGGGTGTACTGTTGTAATATTTATTTTCTCTCTCTCTCTGGACTGTTGTGTGAAGCTTTAGTACAAAGCACAAAATTGATTTCACTTAAAAGGAAGAGTTGGGATAGCAACACATCTTCAAAGTCCTGATCACAGCAATCCTAAGGAAGACATAAGATACAATTTTCTCATGGCTTACAAAACAAATAATTGCAAACTGATATCTTTTATTTTACTCATATTTCACAGAAATCAAAAACAATAAAATGCCAGTGGCTAAATGTGCACACAGAAATACTAAAGATGAAAAATTGGGCTGTGGATATACCTCTAAGGTGGGGTAGTTGCCTAATATGCAAAAAGAATTTGGTTTCGATAACCAACATCACAAAGCAAAATAGAGTCCCTTTTGGAGATGCTGTTATGAGCAATAACTTCACTAACTTCTGAATCGTTAAGTATTTGATTCTCTCTGATCATGATCTATTTTCTTGCTTTCTTGTTGTATTACAATACCCATAATTCTTTACTCCACAAGAAATGTGTGCCATAGTGTGTAACGAATTACCTCAACTTTAGTGAGCTAAAAAGCTCAACTCACCTAGTTTGCAGTTTGGGATCAGAGACTTTGGAATGATTCTTGTGAGAATTCTTGCCAGGGTCTCTCCTTGGAGATAGTCATGAGTGAGCTGGACTGGGTATCACAATGGCTTGTCCAAAAGATGCCTTCTGGGAGCAATACCTGCAGTGGCTTTTCCAGATGGTGGGCTCAGGATAGTCCAGGGCCAGGTAGAAGCTGCATGGCTTCTTCTGACCTAGCCTTCAAAGTTACGTGGCATCATTTCTGCCATATCTATTGGTCACAGGGTTCGCAAGCCTGTGCAGGTTCAAGAGAGGAGTCCGAGGCCCGTCTTTCACTGGGTATCAAACAATTTGGTAGCTGTGTTATGGAACTACCCGTAATCTCCAGAACATGATCCTCCTGCCTTTTTGCTTGCCCACTCAAGTCCTTTGTTGCAATTAACTCTCTCTCGCATCACCAAAAGATTCTGGATTCCCTCCAGCCAATGAGCATAATCTGATGTCAAAGTAAATAGTATATTCTTATCTCTCTGTGCATAAGGACTTCAAAGTCATGGGTAAAAGTACTGTTCTGGCACAAATAAAATGGCATTTAAAAGATAATTCTTATGGTTTAAGAAATAAAACTCTCAAATAATTATACTTTTCAGAAAGCAGATTTAAAAGGAAAAGCAGATTTCTGCCAGTGCAGAAGACTATTATGGTAATCAATCAGAGTTGAATATTTTAAGGACTCGCTATCAGGGGCAAATTGTCTTTGGAATCCACATGTCTCAATAGACTCCATCATATAAAACAGATGCCCAAAGAGTTTTGTTGGATATAGAATAGAATTAAACATGTTGACACAATCTGCACACTGTACCAGAGGACTTGTTTTGGCTCTCAGAATTATAGTCTCAGAGAATCTCTTGCTTACTGTTATAAGTGTAAAGCATTTCAATAGATACCAAGCTAGACTATTTGGTGAGCATGGCTTCTCAAGTCACCTAAATTCCTCTCAGTGATGTAGCGAAGTTGAAAGCGATTCACTTGTTCTGCCTGCCTGGGAGAGTCCCCAGTAGATTGTAGATCATGAGTGAAGATTTATCACAATTGTCTACCCACAAATTTGTCATCCTGGAACTTCAGCATAATTACTTTATTCGTAACAAAATTGTCCTTATTAAGCTGTAACCCCTGGATTAATATCTAGGTTCTAGGTATAGTCCTGCTGTGTAGACCACAGGTCAGATAATAATGACCACGGAGCTGTCAAGCTGGCTCCTTCCCTCCTTACCTCAGCTCATCTACCTGCTTGAGTTTCCTGCATCTCTGAAAAAACTACTTACAATCCAATCCTTGTCCCAGATTCTTCTGAAAGAATCCAGCCAAAGGTGGCCTCTTCACTCACACTCAATTTTTCAAAGCCTAAAGTAAACCAGCATTTTACTCTTCTTAGATAGCACAAAGAACCTAAAACACTTTAACTTTGTTTACTTCACTCTCACTTACTTCCTCCCTGTACTCTCATTCCGTTTTCACATCAGACTTTCTTGCGACACTATTTTCTTCTCATCTGAAGAATACCTATCAGAATTTTCTATGATGAGGATCTTTGAGTGGTAAACTCTCACTTTGTCTTAAATGTCCTTATTTTGCTTTGGTTCATGAGACATTTTTACTGATACAGAGCTCCAGGTCTCACCACCACAGCACTCTGGCTCTGGCTTCTCATACAGGCCGGGCAGGTTTTCAGCACAGGGCCTTTGCACTGGCTCTTCCCTCCCTAGACCTCTCTTCCCCTGCCTTGCAGTCTCTCTTCAGACTTCTCCTCTTCCCTGTGTTTTTCACCATCTGATGTGCAGCTCCATGCATCTTGCCAGTATATCCTATTTGTTGTCTGTCTGTCCTCCAGTAGAGCAAAAGAGGACATGTGGTCACAGACACGCACACACAGAGGGATGACCCTTTGAAGACACAGAGAAAGACACCCCTCTGCTGGATACAGATAGAGGCCTCAGCAGAAGTCAGTCCCGCGACCTTTCATCTCAGACTTCTGGCTTAAGGTGAGACTGTATGACAAAACATTTCTGATGCGTGAGCTACCCTAAGGTGCCAGTAGATTCAGTGTCTGGTGAGGGGCCATTCCTCACAGATGGCATGTTCTCCTTGTACACTCACCAAGTGGAAAGGAGAAACAGTCCCCCTGGAAGCACTTTTTATGACAGCATTAATCCTACTCATGATGGTGGAATCCTAATAATGTAATCACCTCCTAAAGGCCTTACCTCTTAATTGTTTTGGGGGCCAGAGTTCAGTGCACAAATGTGGAGGGAGGCACTAAACTGATCATAGCAGTGAGGACCTGCAGAGAGGATTTGTATTTGCTTTCACTAGATAACTTGAGGCCATCTAGTAAAACCTGTGATCACTTTTTAATTTTTAATTGAATAATT